ATTTAGCACCCAACAAGTTTTTGGGGCCGTTGCCGGGGAATACGGCTAAATTATTTATTTATCCTAATATTAAATTTGAACAATTTTTCTTACTTCAGCCAATTTTTTTTATTTTATTTAATTATTTTTTTATTTTTGTTTTAGGTACTTTTTTTTATGCGAAGAGGACACGACACAAGCCTGCTACCTCTTGACCCCGAAATTGAGCGAACGTTTAGGCAAGCCAGGAGAAATCAACGGTTAGCCCAAAACAATCCGGCAACGATGGAGGACGAGAATAATCATGGAGAAGGTGACCAAAGGCAACCACCTAATGTGGCGAGAGAAATCATCAACGAGCAAAACCAACGCCAGCTGATCAATCCACCGCCTCGCCAACGAGCCTTGCACGAGTACACCGTTCCGACACTCAATGGGTTCCAATCAAGCATCCAGCAGCCCCCCATTGAAGCCAACAATTTCGAGATTCGAGCGGGACTCCTCACGATGCTCCAAAACAATGGTCTTTTCAGCGGATTGGCTCATGAAGATCCACATCTTCACTTGGTCAACTTTCTCGAAACGTGCGACTCGCACAAGATGAACGGAGTAACACCCGAAGCACTGCAACTCCGCCTGTTCAAGCATTCCCTACAAGGAGCAGCCCGAGAATGGTTGCAAACTCGCGCACCGCACTCCATCTCGTCTTGGGCCCAGCTAGCGCAACTTTTCATGAACACATACAACTCCCCAACAAAAACTGAGCGAATCCGGAGAGAAATTCAAAATTTCATTCAAGAAGCCGGTGAAGCACTATTCGAGACGTGGGAGCGGTTCAAGCAGCTAGTAAGGAGGTGCCCGAATCACGGACTTCAAGAGTGGCGCCAATTGCAAATATTTTACGATGGATTGCAAGACAACTCGAGAACCGTGCTTGATTCGGCAGCTGGAGGTATGTTCATGAGTTTGACCTACGACGAAGCATACGAGCTCTTGGAACGAATCGCTAGGAACAAATACATGAGGGCATCGGACCGGTCGAATAGCGGAGCAGTCAAGACGGGAGGAATTTTGGAGTTAGACGGAGTCACTGCAATCACGGCTCAATTGGAGAAGCTATCGAAGCAGGTAGCGGCTTTGCAGACGCAGCAAGTCCATGCAGTCCAAGCTCCCGATCAAGGCGTAGATGAAACGGAGGGTCGATAAATTATGTGCATGACGCCAACGTTCATATACGGAAGTTTAGAC